TTCTTTTTTTTTGAACTTTTCTTTTACGCGTTGTTTAATTTTAATTGACAGGTTAATAGTTCAGCTGGTTGTCTAATCTATTGGAAGATCTAATCTCTCTCTATTGTCACAATCTTGGAAATATAAGCACTTGTTGAGTGATGGAAATTAACACTTATTTGCTGTTTTTATGAACAAGTCAAGTGATGTGTGCAAAAAAAGGTACCAAGACAGAGGACTCGTATGTAGTGAATGATATCTATCAAATTATCTTAAAATTTTTCGTTACTTGATTTTGGGTAAGCCATCTAATTACATTAGATGGATAGAGGTTTATTTTTTAGAACTGATGTCAGTCTTTTTTATTTTTTTTTTTTAATTTTTTATTTTTAATTTTTTTGTGATCCAGGTGCCTTATTTCTTGCCGTCGTTTAATTTCTTCTTCTTTTAATCTCTTTTTAGATTCAGCTGCACTTTTGTCTTTCTACAAATGTAGTGTCTAATTTCATTAAAATTTCTGTTGCTGTTCTTTAATCAATATATAATGGACTGTCAAAACTGTGTCCACAAATCAGTCTTTTTCTTTCTTTTGGGAAAAAACTTTGTTGAGTGGTAAAGTTGATTGCTGAACTGTTACCAAAGTTGTATTAACAGCATTCATCATCGGTTATAATTACAACACTGATGTAGATACAGTTGAGACGAACAGCTAGTTCATTGTTGAAGAGCTGCTTAAAGATGTGGTAAGGATGTTCAGCGCAGCAAATACTAGATTCTTTCAAAATGTGCAAACTCAGCTCAAATTCACTCCTATAAGTAAAATAAAGATTGTTGGATGGATCATACAGTTGCCAGTGCGAATAGAAGTATTTTTTGTGTTCACTAATCCGTCCTCATGAGATGCTACGAGACATTTGATGACATGTAAAAGTGCAACCTTAGATAATGTCAAAATCATACAGGCTTCGGAGGGCACACGAAACTCTTCAGCAGTGTTGTATGGATTCTGATGAATCCTACGCTCAAGAGAAGTAACAGTATGCAACTAATTCAAAATTTCTCTTTAAAAGAGTTTGTCGTAAGAGGGGATGAATGGTTTCCGCGTCACCGTTTACTTTGAATACTTTAGATGATTGTTCCTCATAAAGTCTTGCCAATTCTCCTGTTTCTAAGATTCTGCTTAGCTAGTGTTTTGTATTTAAAGAAATGTGTGCCACGATGGAGTGAAGGTTCAATTTTGAGCTGGTTTTGGAAGACCATTTTTTCTCTACACTTATACTTCGTTGTTATGGAACAGAAGAAAAAAAACCTTTTTTAGAACAGGCCGTGATTCATCTTGGCCAAAAATGTATGGTTATATTTTACCTACATCAGAAGGGCGTTAAGGCATTTTCCCACCAAGTTAGTCGCCTTTTGGGCGCATCCATAGTCTCTATCGTACACCTTTTGAGTGATTGTATACATATTATGATCAAACCAGTTCTTTTAGTCCTTGCAGTACCAAGACTATTAGTTTTTCTTTGCTGCAAATAGTTTTACTATTGATTGCTTAAGCTTTGATTCTTGTATCATTAACGGCCATAAATGGCGAGAAACTATGACACTGAAAAACATTTCAAAAAATGAGAAAATTTTTTCCTTTAGAAATATGCTGTATACTGCGAGTGAGAGCATCTGTGTGTTGCCTACCAAAAAGGGGATAAGTTCGCTGAGAGGTACATAACTGCTGAATGACTTTGTAAAATATTGCAGACCTTGACGCATTTCAGGCGATGAAGTCAGTAAGTGAGTTTATTGGATCAGAGGACTGTTCATATTTGATGAGACAAGTGAGCGTTGAAGTCAAGTTAAAGCCGGTTAACTTTTGTGGCGCAAGTTGGCTCTCCCGTTGCTTCCTGATTTTTCTTGATAACTGAAACCTTTTGGTGAGTGAACAGAAATTAGTGGCAATCCTGTTTTTGAAAGTAGGAAATGGGGATTGAAAATTTTTGGTTGACAAATTTTATTTTCTTTTTCTAAGCCACTATACATTGTTGCAGCAGAGTGGCCTTATAATCATCATATGCTAAAATAGTGACAGTTTGAAAATATGTGTTAAGTTTGTTGGGGAAGATTCGACGTATTCTTATAAGGTTCAAAAAACAATTCTAACGTCTGGTTTTTAACCGGTTGACGATGTTGACGTGTAGAACTTCTGTTACGCGAACAGCACGCTGTATTAGCTGTTGAATATACCGGCAGCAATCGCCAAAAAACTCTAACGCTATAACTGAGATACCATCTTGATTGAATAGATTGAAATTAAGAGTAAACCACGATCAACGGCAGTCGATTAAATGTTATGACAAAAAAGGAAAACAAAAAAGCATTTGCTCTGATTTTATAAATTATACGCATTTGCACCAACTCGAGCGTTTTTCGGAAGGCGTTTCTAACAGCTGATGGTCATCAACGGAACTTAGAAATTTCTGTTTTAGGACAGGCCCGAATTGTAAAACAACTTTTTTCCATCATTTTTGGCTACAACCACAGCGCGTTGTGGAATTGAGTCAAAATGATCGGTTGAGGAATTTTTACACAACAGGCAGACTTGCCAATTCGGTGTGGTGCTGCTGACAAAAATATAGAGCTGTAAAAATGAAAAGAATTGACAATTTTAAATTTTTGGACGTTAACGTTGGTTGTATCTTCCGACCAAGAGGATTCTGAAGGATAGTATCATAGTTGGGAAGGCTGCATACTTTGCGATCTGATCTTGTTTCTACAATAAGTTTTTGCCGGTCAGGAAGTTTCTGTTCAGTCTGATAACACTGACGGTGGCTGCTAAAATTGTTGTTCTTCTAATTACATTAGTTCAATATCACCTACGTTGTTTGCAGAGCCAGGATTTCAGTTTTCATTTTTTTGCACTGCACCATATGCATCATTTGTTGCTTAAGCTGAAACAAATAGTGCGATTCTGAGTTAAACATATTTTTTAGTTAGAATTTTGTGGCGGTTTAAAAACCGTGGTGCGAATAAATGTTTAATTCTTTGAGAATGTTTCAACTAAATTGTTGCTTTTTTACGCTCATTAATTGGGTCGTTTATAACCTTATTCATTTGGGGATCGTTTGTTTTGAGAAGATCTGAAGCAATTCTGGTGTAAATATTTT